TCCCCGCCTGCGGCCTTTGCCTAATTCGGGTGTTTTGTCCGAAAAATTAAACTACGGGGGGTGGGTGAGAAGTGTTCACAACAAAGGTTAAGGGTTCAATCTGACTTGAAGTCGGATTGAATATCAGTAGATTTGAGGATATTGAAAATATTTAAAAGACTTAATAAAATCTAAAAAGAATTACAAAGTTGAGGGATACAATAGAAAGGGTCAAAGGAAGAAAATTTATATGAAAAGAAACATGCATACAGTCGTGAACTGACTTGAAGTCAGATTTCAAAAAGATATTAATTACATTGATATCTACAAAATGCATTTAAAACAAAAATGATAAACCATATTAGATGAAAGAAAAATTGAAGTTGAACGGTTCCATTTTGTGTCGAATTTTGAGATGTCTCGAATACGACTTCAAGCTGAAAAAGCAGGGTTGTGACCTACTCGTTTTTAGATAGGCTTACTTCGACGGTCCTGTGTTAGAACATTTAATACACATGTAGGTCAGGTTCTTTTTCGACTCTTCGTGCCACAATTTCCAATGTTCGTGTGTGCTCGCCAGTGAATGTAGCGCACCGCTCTTTCCACAGTTCACAACTGGGCAAGCGTAGGGTGAAGAAACTCCATATCCACAGAATGGTCTCATGTTTTGATCTATCACCATCTTCAACGATTGAAAAGTTGAAAACACATCAACCATGGTATTCTTTTGTAGAAATTCACGTCTTTCTTGGTGTGTCAGAGGGACCGGAGCACATTTACGCCAGTTATCGATATTGATCTCATCACATAACGTTATGATTTCGGCGGGATCCATCGAAGACAAACGAGCCAAGGATTCGTCCGGTTTCTGCAAGTTTACCAGTATTGACTTCAAGTCGGATTTTTGAAAATCCACAAAACAATACCGAGGACTTCGAACGAATGTAGATATTGACATTGGTTGGATTCACTTCTTCGAAATCGCTCTTGGTTGAAGCCAATTCGCCATAAATGGCACTCTGCCAATCTAAGGCTGTGGTGTGAGCAAATGTAACCGGGTGCAGCGCAAGACTTCGTGAGAGATTGCTAAATTTTCAAAAGTTTCTGACTTCAAGTCATAAAAATACTTACCTCAAGTATCTGTCCACTTGAGCGGATTTCCACTGAGTTCCACTGAGCAAGTTTGATCGTAGTGCTTGCAATGGAATATCTCTCTGTGGGTCTCCTCGTGTCACAATGCCTTGGATGACATCTCTCGCATATCCACTTCTAAAACGACAAACTTTTTGTCAATCTGACTAGAAGTCAGATTCGAATACCTGTAACTTCGAGACGAGAACAGAGCCGGTGGAATTTTGAGTGATTTTGCCACCAAAGAGAGAGCATTATGAACATTACGCATTTGACCAGGTAGCAAGTTGTGATATTTGTTGGATTCTCGGAACAGAGGTGTATCACTGAAGGATGTTATAGTTGAGTACATACATTCCAAACTAACTTCAATTCGCTCTTTCGCACTGTCAGCTCGATTTCTTCCCCAGATTCGGCCAGTTCACCGTAGTCGCAAAAATATTGTTCTGCGCGTGTCGTGCCAACTAAGCACGATAGCATGGCAAGAACCACTGCCACGTTCAGGCTCCAGTCTTCACCATTATCCGAAGATACCAGGGGATACTCGCAGCCAATCGATTTTGGAGAAAATACTTCTGTTCCGTTCATCTTGGAATGGGTGATGTTAATGGACGCTCTCAATCGAATAGAGCCAGCTGGATCACCGTCGCGTTTTCTTCGCCTCCAAACTCGCAAATCAGAGCCTTTCAAACCGTCAAATGCGAAAAGGACATCGTCGTCATCATTATCATCGTCAGCTTTATCTTCAACTTCACTTTCGTCAAAACCATCGAAACTTGAACGGCTACTGCTTGGATGTGGCGATTTCTCAGTGGATTTGGCGTCTGAAAAAGCAATTTGCCTTCAAGTCAGATTCGAGATACTTTTCTACCGGAAACTGGAGGGAATGAGTTTCGTACTGATCCAATTCGAACTCCGAGTCCGCCTAAAAGTAACGCTAGAATCCAAGATTGTAAGCCGAACATTGAAGAGACGCCGTCTGATTTTTTCATTAGTCGAATCGTGTCCGAAAAACTGAGTGAGCTTTTCGATATATCCAAACGACCGCCTTTCATTTTTTCCGTCACCTTTACAACGCTTCTGAGATCATCATCAGAATTTAAACAAAAAGCTTGAAGCTACAAATACTACCTGACAACCCTCCAAATAGATCTTGATTCTTCGGTTGGCGATCGGTCACTGCTTGGCTCAATGACTCCCACATAAGTCCAAAACGCTAACAAACCTCGAATGGTCGTCATAAGCGTGTTGGTCTCTTTAACCTGCACGCGGGCTGAAAATGTATTAATTNTACTTCATGTCAGAACTATTGATACTCACCTTAACACCATTTGTGGCAACCACTTTGCTAGATGAAACTCGTACGGGTGGCACTCGCTCAAACCAACAAAAAAATTCACCGACAAGATTCGCTTTTTCAACCGTCGTCATTCTCTTCACCCTCTCCATCTCATAATCGCACTGAGGAACCGATGGTCTTTCCTTGACTTTGTTACGACGTAATGTCATGAACGAAAAAAAGTGAACGGTTGCAGAAGCCGCCTTCCTCAAGGTCTCGTCCGAAACACTCGAAATTCTGATGGCTTGCATAAAGGGACAGTTTTCACCACTCATTGCACCTCTGAACATGACATGGAATTCCAAGCGGTCCTGAAGTTTAATATTGATTTGCTTTATTGCAAATGTGTAATCTGACTTCAAGTCATATAAAATTCTTACAGGTAACAAGTCAATAGGATATTTGGGATCCTTCGAATTGCTTCGCGCTTGATGTGTTGCGTCAAAAAAATTCAGAAACTTGTTGATTGTCTCACACTTCAGCTTCAGAAGGCTTTTGAGGCTCATCGATTTCAATAGTGTCGTTCGCGGTTCATCGTCTTCTTCGTCTTCTTCGTGGTAATTTCTGTTGTTGTTGTTGTTGTTGGTGGATGTGGATGGCGTACAGTCAACCAGTGCAGAGAACACGGCCATTCGAGCATTTCTCTTTCTCACCAGTTCACCGGAATCATCGTCTTCTCCTTGTCGTAAGTTTGTTGCTCTTTTTCTTCTCATTGGAGTTGTTGCACTCATATCTGGAAACATTTCATTCATGAAAAATACGACCACAAGCATGATCTGGCTTGAAGGTAGATTTGATGATATTGAAAATGGATTTAATCAGACTTTCAGTGGGATCATTATACTAAAAATCATGCAAATTATCTGACTTGAAGGCAAATTTCAGCAGCATAAAGGGGGGGGGGGGTTCAATCTGACTTGAAGTCTGATTGAATATCGGGATCAAGGTTGTTAGCCTTTTCAGTAAGTGGGTTAAAGAGAAATACCATCTCCATAATGCCTGGAAAAAACAAATTACGCAGGTTCAAGTTATCTGACTTGAAGGCAAATTTCAGCAGCGTAAAGGGGGGGGGGTTCAATCTGACTTGAAGTCAGATTGAATATCGGGATTAAGATTTTGGTGCAACTAAAATTTGACTTGAACTGAAATCAGTTTTAGTCAAACTAAAATGAGAGTACACGAAACGAAAAAAAATGAGGTGTGAAGAGAATAGCGTGGAGGAGCAAAAAAAAGAAACGACCTCCTCCCAGCAAGACAAATGGCACGAATGACTGAAACAGAGCAGAAATGGCAAGTCTCCGCCCCTTTACCGTATGATGGGTCTCACCACGAAAACGCGTATCTAACTAATAACTGACGTGGCACCTAAAATCTGATTCAAACTACAAATTTGAGTTGAGCTGAAATTTCGAGTTGAACTGAAATATTGATTAAATGTAAACCACCGCTGTTGGCAGCGTTTCTCTAAATGTGACTTCGAGTCACAATTGAATACTCAATTTGGAAGACTAGCCGATATTGCCATTCAAAATAAACAACACACAGCATTATTTTTCAAATTTATTATTTTACTTCACCACCCCCCGACCGGACTTTTACCGGTATCCCCGCCTGCGGCCTTTGCCTAATTCGGGTGTTTTGTCCGAAAAATTAAACTACGGGGGGTGGGTGAGAAGTGTTCACAACAAAGGTTAACAATTAACAACATATCTAGAAAATGGGTTAAAAAACAACAAAAACTTCAACTACTAGCTAATTCCAGTGGCGCTTCAAAGCAAAGATTGGCTTGTTTAGAATCTGCTTCTTGGATCCCTCGCTCTTTATGAATACCATAGGAATCTTGGTGCACGCCGTTTTCTCCACGACTTCTGGTTCTGGTAGCACTCGCTCTCCAAAACAAGTGTAGAAGGTTGATTCTGGGCCATTCCATCCAGTTTTGCTAATTACTCCTTTTCGAACACGATCTGCCTCACCAAACTCTGACAAAATGGAACAGAGTGTGGAATTGTTTGCACGGAAAACCGCAACTGTCAGCTTCTTGGACAAGATTTTCGACATTTTGGGAATCTGAAAAAAAATTCATATGTAAAAGAATTTAAAAGAAGTTGCCCGCCAAAACTTAGTTTTGGTACCTACGATCATCTCATAATGGCTTTATGTGAATCTACGTGCTTTTCTGCACATTTTGATGCAATGAAAAATTAAATTGTCGCACTGGTTCAAATTTTGCTTATCTGGGAATCTTAGGAATCTGGACGTCACTTTGGGCTGTTTTCTGGGCCCAGAAATCCCAGACTTGGGAACTTTGGACGCGCCAGAAGGGTCGGTTCTAACTTTTAAAATGTTAAATTTATCCATTTGAAGGTCACCCAAATCTGACTTCAAGTCAGGTTTTTGAAGATCTGACTTGAAGTCAGATTGCCGAGATTTGACTTGAAGCCAGTTCTTTAAAATCTGACTTCGGGTCAAATTTCGGAAATCTGACTCCAAGTCAAGTCTTGAAAATGTGGCTTTGAGTCATTGAGTCAATCACTGGAAGGTGGCAGAACTTAAGAGACTCCGCTTATTACAGTTAAAAAAAGGTAACGTACTGTGTCAATAGTCACGAGATAGCCACCATTCGGAACATCGTTCATATGCTCAACCACGGTAATTCCAGCAATTTGAGCTGCAGCTCCAGTCTCCTTGACGTTCACAGTGCCGCCATTCAAGATGATGTCGAGATTGGCGACGAATTTTGCTGCTTTCATTTCACCTTTTGTAACGGACCAGAGCAATTCCGCAGTTCCTGAATCGTTTTCGGTTGAGCATTTCCAGATTACTTCGTGGATTTTAGAACCGGACGGATAAGAGTCGTTTCGAATCGACTCAACAAATGCCTCTTGTGTCAACTGTCTAGATAGGAACATGGCCACTGGGATTCCTTCTGTTCGGCCTCCGCCCATATTCGAGTCAACGAGTCCCAATGTAAGAAGTCGATCAGTTGCTTCAGTCCTTTTGCTCGGATGATTCTTCATGTCGAGTCTGGCCTGCTCATCGTATTCCGCATTCAAAAATTCTAACGCAAGAATAGACGATTCAAATTTGGAAAACTTTCCTTTTGTTCGGTACGCCTCTTTCTTGAATTCCGAAAAGACAGCTTCACGCGTTCTTGAAGAAGCATTTTTCCAATCGAATCGAGCTTGAGCTTGCACTTGTCGACCCAGTTCATTAGCTGCCATCCACATGTTGTTGAACTCCGGTTTGGGAATTTGAAAAAAAGTCAACGGCACCGTCGATTTCAGATCATCATCACTAAGCTCCTTCTGGGCGTGGCACTCTGATAACGCAGCTGTCCTGTGGTTGCCTTCCACAAGAAGAGCTCTGTTGAAGGACTTTCCGGCTAAGAGAAGAATTGGATGATTGGTTGATTGGAAGAGAGCGGTTTTTGGGTGGAATAGTTTCAGGTCATCAACGCGGTTCCAATCGATGGTTCGTAAAAGTTGTCCTTTAAATTGAATCTGAAGGTATTCCTTCAGCGTCACCTCCTTTCCATAGCGTTTGAGGGGACGAAGCTGTTGGAGGGCTTCTGGAAGTGTCTGAAAACGGAAATATTCAAACTAGGCCTGGAGCAAAAAAAATTACCTGTGTCTTTGGACGATTTAGAAGTTCAGCCCATGGCTCTTCTGGACTCTTCTGAAGTACAACCAATGGCTCTACTAGACTATTTGGATGTTCAGATGATGGCGCTTCTGGACTCATTGCAAGCTTAGATGATGTATTCAAAGGCTTCAGGACTTGTCTTTGTGGTGAGAAGAATCTTGGCTTCTAAAAAATTCAACTCTTTAAAATTTGACTTCAAGTCAGAAATGCTCACCTTGACCGCCAACTCGTTTTCATCAACAGTATCGCTCGAGTATTGTCTAATTGGCACTGAACTGGTTCTCTTAGCAGAATGAATAGCACGATCTGCAGAGACTGCTGGCATGGCTCCCTATAAATTTCGAATCTCATCTAATCTGACTTCAAGTCAGATATGCAAACCTCATTTGACAACTCCTGATTGAAGTACAAACGAAGCTGAGCGATGGTGTCGCTGAATGAGGTTGGTGGAAAAGATGGAACCGATTCGCCTTGAGCGACGGTGCCGATTGGATCAACGGGCAGCATCTGAAAGAAATTTTTGAATCTCATCTAATCTGACTTCAAGTCAGATATGCAAACCTCTTCTGCTATCTCCTCAGTTATGGACGACCGAGATGCCTCTTGCTCATTCGGTAGGGTCAATTGAATCGATTCGTCTGGATCGATTGGACTGATTGAAACTCCCGACATTTTCTGAAAAAAAAATTGGTGATTAGACAATGAAATGTGATGGGGATGGTGAGATCCAAATCTGACTTCAGGTCAGATCCAAATCTGACTTCAAGTCAGATTCTGAAGAATTGACTTGAAGCCAATTCATTGAAATCCGACTTCAAGTCAAACCTCTTAATATATACAAACCTCATCTGACATATCGTCAGTCTTCGATGAATGCGAGATTTCTTGAGCGGACTGGTCGATGGAATCATCCGACAACTTTTCTTCATCGAAGGGGGTGATCGATGTGATCGTTTCCTCGTGATGGGAGGTCTCTTGAGAGAGTTGAACGGTGGGAGTATCCGCCATTTGCTGAAAAAAAATTTTTGATTAGACAATGAAATGGGACTGCATGAAACGTAAAGAAATAGGATGTGAAGAGGATAGCGTGGAGGAGAATCTGACTTCAAGTCAGATTTTGAAGATATGAATGGTGTGAAGGTGAATGAATGGTGCGGAGGAGCAAAAAAAAAGAAACGACCTCCTCCCACCAAGACAAATGGCACGAATGACTGGAAGGTGGCAGAAATGACGAGACTCCGCCCCTTTACCGTATGATGGGTCTCACCACGAAAATGCGTATCTAACTTTTAAAATATTACATGTTTCGATTTGAAAGGCATCCAAATCTGACTTCAAGTCAGATTTCCGATATTTGACTTGAAGCCAATTCTTTTAAAAAATTTGAATTCAAGTTAGTTAGGCACAAGTTATTACTCTCGTCCGAAATCAATGCACGTTGCGGCCGAAAATTTACTCAAAATCGCAGATTTCTCAGCCGCCACGTGCATTGACTTCGGACAAGAGTAATAGTTAGGGCAAGTGAAATAAGTGACCTCTTGTTCCGCTGTTTCTTGATGATTTCTGGCGGAAAGACGATGCAATGTGAGTAGCGCTTCCCGTTCTTCCACTTTGGTAATGTCCACAACTTCCAGCTCCGTTTCTTCGTTGAAGAAGGTCACGTGATAACAGGAGAGCAGCTTCACATCCGACTTCCACAACACTATTTCATCGGCGTTTTTGAGTCTTCTCTCAGCAATCAACATTTTCTTTCCGTTCAGTACAATCTGAAAACATCACAATTAATACCAATTCTGATTTCAAGTCAAATTAATTACCATCTCAGAAACTGAACTAGACGTACGAAAAATAATTGATAACTTTGGACTGATCGATACACCATTTGGATCCAGTACATGTTCATTAGTGACCGCATCCACGATAATTCGACCTCTGCCTTTACGAATCATTGTCAATGGACTTTCGCTGGGAATGACAAAGGTTTCAGCATGTCCTAAGTTTCCGAGCCATTCCAAGGTTGGCTCAGTTTCCGATTGCACAACAATTGAGATCAGCTGTCCGGGAACAAATAATCCGGAGACTGTAAAATAAAGAGAATGATGGTGGAAAAAGGAAAACACATGCTCACTTTTCCCATTTTTTAGGTAATCGAATTCCACCAC